GTTACTTGCTTTCGTAGCGCTTCGATCATGCGATTTTGTCGTCTAAAACCAAGACATTTTACAAAGAGCTTGAACCAGTTTCAGCTTACACAAGAACACATTTCCTAACAATATAAAAATGTCAAGCGTACACATTCTCCTTTGTCTTGACACCTATTGTCTCCAGTGCCAGCCTCAATGCTTCATTTTGTGATTCTTTTTCACATTGCAATGCAGCTATCTGTCTGGTCAAGTTGTTAACCTGGGACTCTAGATGCGCCTGAACAGAGGAACGATGAATAGAGTAGAGATAACCAAATTAAAAAAGCTATAACAGCACTTACCATCTCCTCCTTAATCTTAACCTGCAGTTGAGTGGCTATGATACGGTCATTCATCATCTTTATATGACCCTCATCATTTTCCTTTTGTAAGGAAATGAGCTTGGCGTTTTGCTCCTGAAGCTCTTCCAAAGCCTCAAATGAAAAATTAATAGTTCTGGAGATACCTTCGGACAAAAACACTTACAGAGCCAGTGTTGTCAAGATCCAACATAAGGGATGCTTCGGTATCTTTCAGCATGGCTACTTCGCGCTTCAGCCTCTCTATTTCACTATCTTTCTGCGCAAAGAGCCTGTTCGCATCCATCTATATGCATAAAGTGATAATGAAGCGGAAAAATTCACAAATGCGGAAAAACATGGTTAAGTGGAATATTAAGTGAAGAAAACTCAAACACATCGGAGACATGGTGATAAACTAAGTCAACAAACCTCGAAATAACGCATTCTCTCCTTCCTTTCGATATTGCCTAACCTTTTGATCTGATGTATGAGTCTTTCATTTTCCCTCTTCAAACGTCGCTCCCGTACTAACAGCTATAACGAAAACACGCTACACTCAAGACGGAGAAGATTTGCCAAGAAATTTACCTCAGCTTTATCTCTGACATCTGCTCCGACATCAGCATAGACTTCCAACTTGAGCTTCAGTTCCAAGATCTTCGCTTGCAAAGCGCTCACACTGAAATCAACAAGTAACATTTATGACCTCACAGTCATAGTGAAAGAACAAAGAACAGATTCTAGTAAGAGAAAAGATTTACACCTCTCGAAAATAGATGCCGAGACACCGCTATTGCAACATTGATGAAAAAATAGAGAGCATCTTGCTGACATATTTTCATCTCAAGCCATGAAGTACATTCCTTACTCCTCCTAAGGGACCGTTCAGACCGCGCATAAAGGCGGACAAAGGCGCAGGAAGGCGCACGAAGGCGCAC